TCATACTACCATCCCTGGTCATGGCCTACACATACACGTGTATCTGCCATCAGCTATGGATTGTGGTTCAGCAAAGGGCTGGTATGGTCTGCGGGCGCGACAACTTGTAAGTGATGTTTTTGGACACCAAACTAAAAATTAAAACAAAGATTTGTCGCACATTTTCCCCGATGAATCAACTTTTGAAAACAATGAGACAATTACTTGACAAAAGAAATCTATTTTAAGAGGAGTTTCATTGTAGGGAAAGTCATTTATTTCTATTGAATAACGAGTTAATTGATTAACACATATGACTATAACGAAAAAGTCGTTAAATTCACACAATTTAATGAACTCTAAAAACATAACAAAACATATAATAATAAACACTGTAATAATGGTGCGATTTTTGTCACAACATTATTTTTTGCCAACAATTGAGTCGGACTTTAATTTATGAGACAATCATTTGTAATACAATTCTATAATTGAATTCAACATCAGATAGTATTAAGAGAAACACTGTTTGTTTGTATTGAAAACGAATAGAAAATAATCAATTCTTGAGTGAAAAAATATTTTGACGAAAAACTATTTAAAGAAAATTCTTTTCATTCGCTTTTCTTTCAGCGTATTTTCAAATCTCTATTTATTTATTGTTAAAGTCTTTTTGGACTTATTTTTTAAATGAGAGAAATTTGATTCACAATAAGTCAGAGAAAATTTGTGTCAAAATATTTTTCAACGACTTTTATTGACTACGAAAGGCAATGGAGAGCATAAGAATTGAGTAGTTTTTTGACTTACAATACGTTTTCACAATAGCTCCTATCAAATGTTATAAATAGTTAGAAATATATTAAATTTATTGTACCAGATTTATTGACTACGAAAGGCAATGGAGAGCATAAGAATTGAGTAGTTTTTTGACTTACAATACGTTTTCACAATAGCTCCTATCAAATGTTATAAATAGTTAGAAATATATTAAATTTATTGTACCAGTATACAATACAGAAAATTCTTATAGAATTTGAGACCCACTTCATTGGATTTTAAGTTATTGTAAATTTAATAACTAAAAGCCTATACTTATTAAAATGATAGTAATCCCAATTAAAATTCATATAAAAATATTGAGTTATTAAAAAGAATTTAAGCACAACTCGTAACCAAAATTATTGCATACTTTAATGAACTTGTTAACGGTTTACTTTAAACAACAAATATTGATTTATTATAAATTTACGGTTGTTTTGCAAAAATTTCTTTAATAAATCTACACTAAATAAAATTAAATAAATCCATTAGTAATACAACCTTTTTCCTAGAGAATAATTTTAAATATTAATAACCAATCCTTTGTAGAGTAGAAACATAATTACGTTCAACTACTACCATATTTACCAATTATATGATACTGTATAATGAATTATGTATCCATATTAGTGCGGGCAATGGTAGCACCGAAATGCGAGAACTTAATTACAGTGAGAATCACTCGGAATATTCGGCTAACAATCAGAACCACCAAAACCAAAGACCTCTGCAGCAGATATACCACAATAAGACAGATGAAGACAGTTCTACTGTGAAACAGGTGACTATAATTAAGGTTCTTATCTCTCCTTTTATTCTTATCTTTCAATTGAAAATATCATATTTAATGATTGCCTGTTGACAATACACAACAACAATATATCATATTCCTAATAAGAGGTGTATAGTATGACAACTAATATCCAATTAACAGGTAATCAAAATGTTAGTGGCAGTAGTGGTGCTGTTCATAATATGCTGGTCGCCCATACTCATCATTAACGTGTTGACATCGTTTGGTATTATAGACCCATTAAACTACGGATATTTAAAGCCCTTGAGAACAGGTATTCAATCACTTTTACCTTTTTTATGCCATAAAACAATACAGAATATTCCGCGAGGCATACACTTTATCATGCTAGAATTCTGTCTATATTAAACGCTAGCCGTTAGTTTATAACAAACAAGTTATTAATGAAAACTAATAGCACTACTGACTAAACTGTATGTCCACCCAATTAGCTGCCCATCTATTATCGTACGTGAATTCGTGCATAAATCCAGTGGTCTATGGGTTTATGTCGAAGAACTTTAGGGCCTCATTCAAGGCGGCTCTCAGCAAATGTCTTCACTGCAAAGGTAATGGAGGTTACGGTCAAAGCAGTTCTAATCGCAGCTATACCTCCACGTATCGCATCAATAGCACGACCGCCACCAGAGCTACAACTATATGGACTCAACAACAGATGAACCACTAATGTAACACTAGATCTCTCAGAGTCCGCACACCATATACACGACCAGTCCATACCTGAAGTCATATATACTTAAATATATTATTATTTTGTGTGCATCT